GAAAATAGCATTGGGAGAAGATCAGAGCAGCACTAGAGAATGAGACAATTAGCCCACTTGGCCAGCACAGAGTTCAGGAGAATCTGAAAGTTGTAAACTCAAATCCATCTTCCAGGTTATTCTAGGAGAGGAGACTAGACTGCACTTTAACAGTTTTTATGAGGATTTGTTCATGTTAAGTATTTTGACCTATAGTATGTGAGCCTCTGCCGACACTATTGTTCTAGGTCCATAACTGTCTGAGATAGGTCTATGCTTTGTGGAGACAGGTGTGAAATAATCACACAAAGAAATGCACACTTGAATGCAATGCTAACAATAAGTCCACTGGGCTGGTGGCACAAGGGGTTAAAGAGCAGCGCTATGAAGCTATCTGCATCCACTGCAGCCCGAATTCAATCCCCGGCCAGGGAGTTGACCTACATGGTGCAGCAGACCTCTCCTGACCCGCCCGCTGCTCCCCTCAGCAGTGTACTTTGTCAGTCTGCCTGTTCTGCTCCCGACTCTGTCTCTGGTGAATCCACTCACCCCCCAGCACCTCTGGTCTTATACCCCAGTTCTTGTATACATGCATAAATAAATGTTTTTTAAAGATTTATTTATTCATACACAACTGGGGTACAAGCCAGAGATGCAGAGAGTGAGAGGATTCACCAGAGACAGAGCGGAGAGCAGAACAGGCAGATAGACAAAGTACACTGCTGAGGGGAGTAGCGGGCGGGTCAGGAGAGGTCTGCCATGCCATGTGGATCTCCTCTGGGGCAGGCGGGGATCGAACTCATGCGGAAGTGGCTTAAGCCTCTTAGTGCTGTGCTTTAACTCGCTGCGCCACCAGGGAGGGCCCATAAATATTTTTTTTTTTTTAAGGGAAGAATAAGTCCACCATTTTGGATGACTCCTAAAATGCTCTACTTGATCATAGGGTTTTCATCACATCATGAGCTCTCCCTGCATAGCTCTCTTCTCAAGAGCCTAAAACACTACAAAATACCACATACCACACTTGCCGTCCCTAAACACAGAGATTCAGGCAAGTGAATACTAGAAAAAAAGGACAAGAGAGGAAGACCAAGCCTGTTAAACTCTCAGACTCATTTCCTGATTTTCATTAGTCCAAAGCAGGGTCCCTGCCCTCCATCCAAGATGGATCTCTACTTTGTATCAACCTCCAGGAGCTCTGCAGTTGATCCCTGTCCCCTCCCCAACCCCCACCCCCAGCTGTCTTTATCTAGGTAGCCCCAACCTGCATCTGCTTCCAAGTGTCTAACCCCAGGCTTACCATTCTCACTGTTCTCCAGCAGCAGCAGAGCAAGCTTCTCTGACTAATTTGTGAGAAAGCAGCAAATTCTCCCACTTGTCTCTCACTAGCCACCCCATCCAAGGCAGCTCTGAAGCCTGCATCTCTTTCTTGTCCCTGATATCCCTGTAATCCACTCCAGCTCCCTGATATCCACTCAGTGAGGGCTGGGCTAGATTGTGAAAGTCCCAGAGGAAGGGCCACATCTGTCCAGTGTCTGCAGAACTGGCTCGGTGGAGCTGCAAGCAGAAGTAGGCATTCAGCGCAGAGGCTGGTGATGGAACCAAGGGGCAGCACGCTGCTGGAGCACCATCAGTGCACAAGAAGCAAACTGCTCCCAGTCACGGCAGTCGTCCTGCAGCCTGGAAGGTGGGCAGACCCTCCTTTCCAGTGAAGCAGGGGAGCGTCCTCTTGCCTCTGAAACAGCAACAGCACCATGGCAGCCCTGCTGCCACCATGTAGACAGATCGGGTGCTCAGGCAGGACTTACACAGTGGCAACTATCATTTCTCATGCCTGTTTTATAAATGAGGAACTCAAGGCAAAGAGAGACTCTGTTATTTGTTCAAGCTCCAAACTGAGCCGTCAGGCTTTGGAGACCTCAGCTTACCTACCATGGTGCCCTGTCCGGGAAGCCAACTAGTGCAGTGCCAAACAAAAACAGAGAGTGAGAATGCCACCAGGCTTTGGTCCCATGCTCTCATGGCTCATTGACCCTGGTCCAACCTCAATGAACGATGGAGAGTAGGAGAAAGCTCAGCAGAGCCAAGTGTCTGTCATACCCTGTTCCCTCTCTTCCGTCTATCCGCTGTTTGTTTCTCAAATGTGCTAAGCTTCACACTTAGGCTTTTGAGCTTGCTGTTTGCTTATCCCCTAGACCTACGCATCCCTGGGTCTTTATTTCGGCATCAGCTCAGGTGGCAAAATATACTAACGCTATTCCTGCTCACTGTATCTAATGCAACTGCATCTTCCCCTTTAATTCCTGTCTAATTCATCTTGCTACTTTACTTTCATCACGGCACTGAACACACCCTACTAGTTGACTTGTCCATTTCTGTGTCTGCACTGGAATGTCAGCTTCAGGAAAGCAGTGCCTGACACAGCATCTGACACATTTATTGTGTCCAGTAAATATTTGCTAAATAAATGCATGCATGAGTGAATGGGCACGGCATCTTTAGAGATCTGTGCAAAGGTGGAACTAGTCTGATCCTCCAGTTGCTCCTCACTACTTGGTAAGGGGGAAAAGAAAGAATCTTCGTTGAGTCCCTGGAGCTGTGGCAAATGACAGGGTAACTTCTCAGTTCTTTTGTTCGGGCAGAGGAGTGAAGAGCCAAGGCACAGAGTGAAAAGATCAAAGCATTCAGCTACCAGGGCTGCAGACTACATGAACTGCCTTCAGGTCACGTGTGGACAGTAGTGGACACCTCTCTGGGAACAGAGTCCTCCCACCCCCAACCTTCTTCTGTAGAGTGTTTCCCCCAGATACTTCCCTTCATCTTCCTGCCCCATTGAAATGAGCAGAAAGCAAGAAGGTGTGTTCACATCTAACCTACCTGCATTACTCTTGCTACCACTATAACATGATCTCATCAAAATGTCCTGGCTCTTGCACAGATAAGGCAAAGTCCCAGAATGAAGTAATAATATGCAGGTAGTCCTTGAGTTGATCCAGTCTTAGTGATGACAGGGCCCTCTACTCCTCCACATAACTTAGAGCCCAGTCCTTTATTGGTGTTAACTATTTTATTTGCTGCATTGTTTATGACACATTATGAAAATAGTGAACAAGACATGAAAGCTCCTGATCTCCAGCAAACTCTGTATCATGAACACACACCACAAACTTTTCTCATGATGCCTTTCTTTTTTCAACAAAACATGGATTTTCTATGATCATAAATATATGCCATTTCATACTAACCCCTTCCAAGGCATTTCATGCTTATTATCTTCTAGATCCTTCCAACATACTTATAAAAGAAGGGGAAAGGAAATGTCTCTAAATCACAGAAGTTGGAATGAGGACCCACAGTTATAAAGTGATTTGAAGAAGTTTACACAGGAAGAGAAATATCATTTGAAAAGATACCCTGCCCTGCTTTCTAGAAACAAGAGTGTTCTTGCCAGAAGTCATCCTCCCAGCAGCCCCTATGGCACATCTGAACCAGCCTATATGAGAAAAGAAAGGAATAGCTTAAGTTAGGAAGAGACATGATTTGTTCTTTCAGAAAAGGTGAGGGTCCTCACTGGGGCAAGATTCTGGCCAGGAGCACCCCAAAGTGTGATAACACTCTTGCTCTCAGCCAAGCCACTCCACCTGGTGTCTCTGCTAGAGCTGCAGCACTGGAAATGGAGAGAAGGGGTGAAAGAAAGGCACTGAGCAGCATCCTAAGTTTCTTGCCTAGCAGAATTCCAGAACTTCACTTGGGACTTCAGAGACTTCAGTCATAAGAAGCCCTCAATCTTTCAGAGATATTTATTGACACTGAAAACTATCTCATCTCCTCTTGAAATGCCCAGAAGTTGGCCCCAGCCATCTGAAGTGCTTGGCCCACTCAGAACAATGGTTAAATGAATGGAACATCAGCTAAAACTGCCTCTCACAGAGCAAACTCAGCAAGAGCCAGCACCATCCAGGAGCATCAATCTGGCATCCACTGTAGGCCACTTTTTCTGGGAGCCCCTGAAGTCTTCCTTTCTATCTGGGAAATTATTGAAGTGACTCTGCTCAGGGCACCCTTTTTGCAGCCTCACCAGCTAGGTCAGATTTTCAGATGAGCCCTTCCCACCTGGAGTTCCCTGGAAACAATTCATGACTTCAGAAGATTGCGTAGATGTTTTCCAGTATTGCAGATGCTCTATTGGAAGTGGAGCTGGGAGGGATGGTGTGTGTGTGTGTGTGTGTGTGTGTGTGTGTGTGTGTGTGTGTGTGTGTGTGTGTGTGTGTGAAAACATGAATGACTCAGACTTGGGAAGGCTCCGTGGTCCAAGGAGTACTTGGCATCCCCTAAACAGGATAGGGAGAGTTTAAGGGAAATCCTACATTCATGTGCTGGGAGGAGGAGCTTCCTTCTCCAGCCTCTAGGTTCACTCTCTGTCCACTTACCCACCTGCTTTCAAACAAGGGAACACAGTCTGCCAACACTGAGTCTGTATTAGCAAACTGTGGCATCTTCTTGGGCCTCGATTCCCTCTCCATATCTACAGTGAAGATTTCAATACAGTAGGGGAGGGGATAGCCTCAAAGTGAACAATAGGTTAGGGCTCACTGAATTTCCGTCTAAGAAAATAGGGAAAGAGAAGATCTTGGCAACCTTTCAGAGGTGGAAATGTGTGAATCTGGACTGAAAGCAGATTGGGGGAAATCAGAGAAAAGGGCTACAAGTATGCGTGGCTCGTTAAGTCCCTTCACTTCATCAATTCTGACTCTGGATCTTCCAGTTTGAGGATGCTTATGGAATTTCTGGGTGGAAACGAAGACACAAGCATTGGAAAGCAATTGCAAAATCTAGGGTGCCACTGAGCCACAGGCTCCGCCAGAACCCCAACACTTCACAGGCAAACTTAACCACAAGAAACATCTTTAAGTAGTTCTTAAAAGTTAGCGTTCTCAAGCCAGACAGTATAATGCTTCAAGTAGCAATCTGGAAAACCGGGGGTGACCACAAGGAAGCGAAAGAAAGGAAAAAGCTCTCACCTGCTCTGGCCCTTGGAAGCAGATGCGGCAGAGCGGGGTCCTCATGCCACTGTCCAGACTGCTGCCCAGTGAGTAGCGGTCCTCAGCCTTCCCCTTGCAGAAGTCATCCGAGGAGGCACTGCTGAGCAGAGAGGCAGGTGGCTCTGGGGTTGGGCCACCCCAGTCATCGTCCACAGAAGAAGGTGGCAAAGGTGGTAGAGGTGGCAAAGGAGGGGTCTCCCTGCCCACTCCTTCTCGAGGGCCCCTCCAACCTGCCCACCCCCCGGCACCCAGAGCCGGAAGGGTATTGTTGTTGGCCGCCAAACCGGGGGGCTGGGGTTCACCGTGCATGGGCAGGGGCGCTGGAGGAGGGGGGCGCCGCAGCAGGAAAACCTTCAGGTCATTGAAGAGCATGCGGCAGCGGCACTTGAGGAGACCCTGGTGGCGCAACATCTGGGGAGCCGGGACGCACAATCCACAGAGGTACCAGGCACAGGAACAGCAGCACCACCAGAGCAGCCCACTCAGGGGCATCAGCATGTGCCCAGTGGAAGCAGAGCGCCCGGGAGGGGCAGTTGGAGTCTTTGCAGAGGAAGATAGGGTGGTTGTAGTGGGTCCACAGAGTATCTGTATTATGGGGGGAGGGGGGTACTTTCTCACTGGCTCCTCTTAAACCCCCTCCTACTAGCAAACAAATTGCTCAGGACTGAAAACTGTGAGTCACTGTTTCTGAACTCTACCTGTAGCAAACCCCCAAAAGGATTTTCTTGTCTCCCCCCAACTCTAGGCTTTGTTCAGGGTATCTGTCTCTCTACCTTTGACTTAGGGGGCACAGGTAAGGGTAGGAGAAGAGACCAAAAAAAAAATGGGGAGATGAAAGGTTAGGGCCTTGAGATCAAGGTCTGGTTGTTAGAAAGTTCCCCAGGCAACAATAACCGAGTTCTTTAAAATTCCTAGGTGTGGGGAATCTCTTTTATATAAAAAGATGGGGAAGATATTAAATTAAATTTGAAGTGGACTGGGCTAGGCTTAGGGCAAACTAGCTCAGTAAAAAATCAAGAACTGCTTGTACAAGAGAGAAAAGGTAGTTTCCCTCAGGTAACAGGAGATTGGCTGGGGTGAGGGGTGGCAAGGCAGGGAGGAGAGGAGGCAGGGAGAAGTTTTAATTCTCTTGGGCAGAAAACTGGGGCAATTAACCCCCAGAAGCACCAGAGTTGCTTTTAAGAGAGCCGTTCGGTGGGGGGAGGGACTGCAGGTGAAATTGGTCAAGGGGTTTGTGCTTTGCCTCTGCAGCCAAAGGGCTGAACAGAGAGGGGAAAGTCAATTTGGAGAATATGAGTGGGAAAATAAGGGATTGGGAAGGGGGAAAAAAAGGGGAAGAATAAAAAGATCTTTTAACCCTTGCAGCTCCTCCTCCTTGCTGAGCTTTAAGACCCTGGCTAGAGGAAGAGTGTGTGTATGGGGCCGTGGGAGAGGGGTAGTGGGGCGGGGGAGAGGGGTAGAGAAGAGGGGCGTGTGGGCGGGAACAGAAGGAAGGAGTAGTTACATGATCTCAGCCCACAGCCCACCCCTAGGACAGCCGATAAATCCGTGGCCCCCTCCCCTTGTCTCCATCAAAGGTTCCTTCTGGCAAGGGGCAAGGGTCCACAGAAGGGCAGGTCTGGGCGCCTCAGTGGCCTCGCCTTTTCCTCCTCTTCTTCCTCTGGGCCTTCGTCGCCCTCCTCCTCTTGCTCAGGATCTGCCCGCGGCGGATGATGCTGCTGTGGCGGCAGCAGCAACTGCTCGTCGGCGTCCGGGTGTCTCCGGGGCGGGGGCTGCTCCGGCTCGTCCTCTGGCTGCTGCTCGCCGTCCGGCGCGGCGGTGACTCCTGGCTTCATGATCCTCCTCCTCCTCCTCCTTCCCGGGGGGCTGGCCCTGAGCCCCCGCGCTCGGGCAGCGCTGCCATGCAACCAGAGGCAAGGCGGGCGTAGGGGTGGGGGAGGCTGGGGAGTGAGGAGGGATAATAATTTCAAAAAATGAAATACTAGTGGAAGAATAATAATTCGGTGCTCAAATATCAGGAAAGAGTGCTTCTAGAGCGGTGGAGGTGGAAAAGGGAGGCAGCCAGGTCTTCACGGCAGCTCTGCCCCCCGCTACCCCCACCAGGCACCGAGTCAGCCAGCTCTACCCCCTCCCAGCGCCCCTCCCTCCTTTCCGCTGTCTCTGGCTGGCTGGACTAGCAGTTGCTACCTCTCTTCGCAGATGCAACGAGGAAAGTCTTGCTTGTGGTGCCAGCTCAAGGTGAGGAGGGGGAAACGAAGCAATGTGGCCGAGGTGGGAGGCAGCCAACACTTGGCTCAGGCTTGGTTTTTGCGACTCCACAAAACCGTATATAAATATATCTCATAAAAGACGAGAGGAAGCAAATCAGATTCCAGGCAGGTGTTGTCTCCTCTTCTGCCGTTGCTCAGCACCCGCTGCCGCTGCTGCTGCCCCCCTGGCTCAGTTCCCAAAGGGGTGGTACTGGAAAGGAGGTGGCGGGGCGGTGAGCTGATCGTCCGACGACTGGAATCAAGGTTTTTGAGTGGAGAAGTCTACCACCTCTCTCCGCCGCCGCCGCCGCCAGGGCCGCGGCTGCTGCATTCAGCACCCCGGACGAGTGGACAGCTCCCACCCAGACCCCGCGCGTCACGCTAGTGGAGGCCTGACGCTGACGCCACAGAGGGATGGAGGAGGGAAAAGGAGACGAGAGAAAAGAGATTAGAGGGAGAGAGCGGAGAGAACTGTGCGAGGGGTGGGTGAGGGGAGGGATCAGGGAAAGGGAAGGAAGAGAGGGAGGGATTTAGAAAGGGAAGAGGGAGCTAAGTGAAGGAAGAGGAATAAAGGCAGGTGGGGTGGAGGAGAGCAATTCAGGTGCTAACTCATATTCCCCCACCTGGAAATTATCTGTGTCTTCCACCACCCTCAAGGAACCCCCGTCAACTGTCACTACTCTCCTCAATGCACACCATGCCCCTGCTCATCCAAACATTTAAGCAGATATCAATCTGCAGGCTTTGGATGAGATAAGTTTGGTTCTTTCCACACTGAAGGTGGAACTTCATAGAGACTAAGTTCCTTCAGACCAGAAACTCATGAGAAAGAAATGCTGCAAATGGAAGGGGAGCTGGCATCATTGTTGCCAGTTTTTTTGTAGAAGTTCAGCTCCAATGGACATGGTCCTTGGTGGGTCTATTCAGATCCTATGTGCCTAGCTCAGTGATGGCATGCGATAAGTACTCATGCATGGTGGCTGAGCTGAGTTGACCACCACATCACATCACTGCAGTGGTCATCACCCCTATTGTGACTGATATAAATCCAGGACAATATTCCAACCTCATCTCCAATATTCCAACCAATATATTATCTCCAGGCTCTCCCCCACTCAAGCTTTTCACTGAGCTACTAACAAGAGATCATTTGAAATCGAGATTTATTTCCTCTCATTTCTATTTCTGACTCATATCACCTTATTCCATCTTTCTCAAGAAGTCACTGGTGAGTGGAACACTGTCCCCAAACATGAAAAGCAGGAAAAAAGAGAAAACTTAAAGTAGTCTATACAAATACTCAGGATTTGCAGCTGTAAACATTGGTCATTTAAACCTTAGAATTGCTTTCTTGCTTTCCTCACCAGCCTCTCTCCTTCTCTCTCTCTCTCTCACCACACATACACACCATGCACCTTCAGGGTCATAGACTTGGACAAGTTATCCTGGTGAGTCATCTACACAGCTGTGGTAATGCCTTTAGAAATATTTAAGCCATAGACAGTAGTATGCAAAATCTCTGCACCAAAATATCATTGGCATAAGTTTCAGCCCTGTGAATCATAAAAAAACTACCCCTTTGCTGCTATCTCCTTGAATGATTCATTGCTACACGCTCTAAGGCATAAGGACCTAGGTTTGGGTCTTGGTTACCCCTGGTTGACTGCTTGTTTGAACCATGCCTCAGCACCCACAATGGAGGCTGAGACCTGGCCTATGGTAAATGGCTTGAAGGTGACACTGATGTTGCTGCATAGTACATGTATTGTTGATATCAGCATGATCACTGTGCTACATAACAGAACTTAATTTTAAAAATCCATCTATTCTCAAAGAACTTTCTCTGTGCTCCTTATCACCCTATGTCTGCATCTGACACTGCACAAATCACACTCCATAATAATTATAACATTGTAGGCTAATCTCCCTTTACAAAAAACTCAGGGTTCCTTGAAAGCAGGAATGAGTATTCATCAGCACATAACAAAATACCTAAGTAAGTGATCAAAAAACACTGAGTGAATTAACAGTCTTTTTGTTCTGGTGAAGCTACTGCTTTTCTCCCCTTCAACCTACACACACACACACACACACACTCACACACGCAAGTCCAAGGGTGTCATGCAAATAAGTTGAAACAAGATTAAAAATTCCACACAAAACAAATTCAGTCACAGGGAAAAAATGATATCCATAAGAAAACTGTCATCAAATACTAGATGATTTCATTCATATGGTTGCTAGAGGGGAGGGGTGGAAACAAAGCAGGGGAGGGACCCTGTGGGCTAGGATAAAGGGCTGCGGGTGATTTGATGGTGGGGGGGGGTGATGACTTACACCTGAGCAGGTGTGAGCCTATTCCCCTAAATCATGTACAGTGTTGTAGCCCAATTACCTCAATAAAGAAAAAAGCTTCTCTTTCCTAATGGTCCCACTAGTATCAAAGCATTTCTAAGAAACAGAAAGCTGTTAAGGGTTGGAAGCAGCAACAGAATTGTCTTCAAAAGGACTGAAAGACTTAAGAGCCCTGTTTTGAATGTAATGTAAATCCTGAAGAGCACCTCACTGAGTTAGAGTCTCTTTACACTGATGATGAAACAGTGTTGTGAGACTGGAGAGTGAAAGTCATTACAAAGAAATGTTAAATCAATGAGTCCCCATTTAAACATTCAAAAAATATTGAAAGAACAACAATCACAGACAAGGCATTGTATCGGAATATGTGGGCAACACAAAAATGAATTAGTTGGAACTGCATTTTCAAGGGACTAGTTATGTAATCACAATTTAGGTTACAATTTGCATATCTGTATCACAGTATAGTCGTAATGCTATCCACGTGTAAAAAGTTTTGGGAGTGTTTAGAATAAGGACATAATTATTGGTTAGGGGCATTTAGGGAAGAGAGGAGATGCAAAGTCCACCAGAAAGCTTTTGTCAAGAAGTGACAGTAGAGCTGAGTTAACATACACAGAATTCCGAGGAGCGTATTTCTTTTTTTCTTAATTTTTATTAATTTGTATCTATTTATATTATTGTTCATTTTAAACAATGCTTACTTCCCCTCTCCACCACTTTGCCCACCTGTCATCACTATAGTCCCCCACGTCTCTCCCTTCCTCCAATCCCTCTGTCTCCTGCCCCTGTAGGATATCTGGTTTATAATTGTCCGTTTGTTTTGTTTCATTGTGTTCTGTTTTGTATTGTAATAACAATATATTTTTTCCTCTATGTCTTATTTGATTCTCTTATATTCCTCTAAGTGAAATCATTTGATATTTTTCTTCTTCCTTCTGACTCATTTCACTGAACATGATCCCTTCCAGCTCCATCCATGTTGCTGCAAATGGCATGAGTTTACTTTTCTTGATTGCCAAGTAGTATTCCATTGCATATATAGACCACATCTTCTTGATCCAACCATCTAGTTTTGGTCATTTGAGTTGTTTCCAGGATTTACCTACTGTAAATAGTGCTACAATTAACAGAAGTGTGCAGGTATCATTTTGAATTAATGTTTTTATGTTTTGTGTCCTTTGGGTAGATCCCTAAGAGTACAATTGTGGGGTCATATGGTAGCTCCATTTTTAGTAGTCTGAGGAATCTCCAAGGAGCATATTTCTGGCAGTGAGAACAGAGAATACTTTAGTTCTTTCATTTTACCAGAATGGAAGGTGCTTGAAGCTAAATAGCTGGAAGTAAACTGGAAAAGGTAGGCTGATGCCGGATCACTACAGGCCCTGAACACCACTCTGGGAGATTTATTCAATGACTAGGTACTTGTTTTAATGGTTTTAAAGATTTGGAGCTGAAGGTGAAAGGCAGAAATAAACTTTATCTCTAGAGCAGGTTAATTAACAGGATGGGATTTCATTGCTAACAGGTTAGACACAATCAATATTTTTCATTTCACGCCAGAAACTTCTCAGCTCTTTAATAGATTTATTCTTTTAAATGAGGTTGTTTTCAGATATATTTCATTACATACAGAGATGCTGGGGTCATAAGAAATAGGAGAAGAACAGAGGAATGAGAGGCTCCAAGGAACAGTCTTTAGGAAGAAATATTAGAAGATACAGAATTTCACAAAAGATTTATTATGGAGGAAATTGCACCTGTTCTCCAGCCGGGGGATCCCTAAAGGGAACTTGCTGGCTTCTATTGTTTCTTCCTTACTTACACAGAGAGTGCCCAGGCTAGAAAGGAGTTTACAGAAATCCCTGGGAGAATTAACAGTCTAGAAATACTGGTAACTCTGTGCCCAAGATCTTACAGCAAATTAACTGTCAGACAAGAGTTAGAACCCATATACCTTCTATTCTTCAATACAGTTTGCTGTCCACTATGTCACAGATGACTCTTTGTACAAAGCCCCTCCAGAATAGTGGCAGAATTGCTCTTAACACACAAGTTATTAATAGCTATCACATAATGAGACACATGCCTTTTTCACGTGTAATAGAAACATCTGGAAACTTCTTAAAATAAAAATTCTAATGGGCATTCATTTCATCTATGTGCCTGGGCCAGAGATGGCATGAGGTGGGCATGTAATACATATTTGTTAAATGAATTAAGACCACCAGGACAATCACATGGTCATTTCTCCAAGCCATAGGCCTCTTTCAGTTGTGGGTCAGAAGAATCTGGAACAGCCTCATCTTACCCAATACCTCAGACCTTTCACTCAATCATTCACAAGGGTTAGTTTGAAGTGGATTTGGATTTGGATTTTGCCTCCTATTTTTGCTCCTAATTCGTGTCACCCCATCCCATCCTTCTCAAAGAGTTTTTAATGAGCAGATAAGTATCCCCAAATGTGAGTTACACACTAATTTGAGGGTAATTTGACACAGAGCAATGAATAAGTTATACATAATGGCACTGAGAACATCAATCACTATGTCCCTGGTTCTGTTCCATGCCCCAAATTACTTCACTCTGACTTCAGATAGAGATTGATCATTCACAAGGCAATGCAAGAGTAAATTTGAGAAAAGAATATTTAATATGTTTAATTGGTGTATAGAAGAAGAGCTCTTCTCAAGCCTACATGTGCCTTAAATGTCACCTGCACTGCTTGTTAAAAGTCCAGATTCCTGCATTAACTCTCACTTCAGAGATTCTCATGTAGTATATCTAGTTGTGGGACATCAGGCATGTATTTGACTAGCTCCTTCAGTGGTTCTGAAACATGTTGTATGTGCCCTTCATTGTGGAGATCACTGGCCTGCAAGATGAAGCTTGATGCCAGGACCTCATTCTCCAGTGATCAGTCACCACATGAGCAGACTGGCCACCCCCTGTCTATGAGCTGATGTTCTTCTCCAGCCAAGAGTGAATACAGAGCAAGGTACAAATCAACACCAAGAGGCAGCAACAGAGTGATATGGAAAAGGGGCTGAGCAG